GGGGTGTCTTTTCTCAGATGTTTGTAGATTCAGTTGGCTGAAAATGCACAGCGAAGCAAGACATCGAATGTTAGCCTACTCATATCGTCGAAAATTTCGATACATTTTCCACAATTATTTTTCCATTTCTCAATAAGAATATCTGTGCATTCGTTGTAAATGCTAACATAAGATCGAAGAACATCGAAATGGAATGCTGGTGTTAAAAGACGCCGATTTCTCGCCCATAATGCCCCATTAGAGGTTAATATTCCATCACCAGTCCAATCTCGAACATACTTCATAGCGTCAGTATCTTTGGAAAAGGGCTTTTTGAGAGCCATTCTAATTGTATCTGGATGATTGATGGCAAGTACTGGATGCCATATACCATAATATAACGCATACTTACGTGAGTATTGCCTATCTATTTTCAACAGTGATTGTGAGAAACTGCCATCGAAATCACTAACATTACCAGTAATCCAGTGAGGTTTCGGGCCTTGCATTTTACGAAGAGCTGAATAAATTCTATACTTGGAATACAACCATGGCCACAACGATACAATGGCGTATGTGATGAACACTATTATGATAAGTGAAGCAATCATGATTTCTACCCTGCACTATTTCAATTCCGGAATGTTATGTATTTAATTTAGTGTTAATTTAGTGTCAAAATGGATATCACCTGGTTTACACTTTAACATCAACAACGCCTTCAAGATCTCCGTTTTCCTACTTTACTTATCGAGGTTAAAAAGGGGTTGGACGTCCCCATTGGGCGTCTCCTATGAGTCCGACTGTCCGTATTTTACGCTTTCTGATTCTGATACAGTACTATGCCTACAGTACGGTACTGTACGGTACTGTACTGCACACTGTAAGACAACTGCTGCTACAGACTACAGTACGTTCGTCCAGACGTCCAGTACAGTACACTACATACAGTACAGTACATGTGTGTTCCAAACTGGCGCACTGCGCATGTCTCGTGTCAAGACATGGTTGTAACTTGTTGGTAAAATTAGGTGAAAGTGGAAGACAGCTGCCCAATACTTTGAACTAGGTTACATTAGGGATTCATTTCCTACTTTAACTTGTTGAAAGGATTTTTGTTGGTTAAATTCAGTGAAAGTATAAGAAACGCTATCCTTACTTTAAATTAAATTAGGCACACATAGTTGGCTTAAATTAATCATTATTATCGATCAATACTACAGTGCAGTATGGATTAGAGAATCACTATTATAATATTAGCGATTAATACAGTAGAGGTCAAATTCAATTCTAAATCCTATTCTGCAGACTAGGATCCGCACTAGATCAGACCATCAAGACCTCTAGCCATATATAAATTAAATTAAAGAAGAAACCTCTGCAATCTTTCTTGATATTGTCGATGTACCGGCAATATGCAATACAAATCATACACTTCTATAGACACTACAATACAAGCATACAATCCTAACGAACTAGGATTAAACGTACAATAAAACGAAGCGAGGCCGTCAGTGATATCGACGGGATGTTGCTAGTTATAATAATTTTAATTTCAATATGCTGTACACTCACTACACTATATATTATACAATATGATGTATTGCATCAAAATCCAATATTACTCTGAATTCCAACTGGTGCTTTATGGTAAAGTAGATGATATACTGTAAACTAACCTAAAAAGTATAAGTACAGTACAGTACTCATACAGTCAGACTATTAAATAGCAACAACAACTGTTTTTCCTCACAGAAGTGCTCATGTCTCCCTATTTTCAAACGTTAACTTATTCAAATAGCCATTACGTCGTAGAATTATTGACAATTCGCCTATACCGACATCCGTATTGTACAGTACAGGGTACAATCTAGGTCTTTTCCCCCTATGCTTGATGACATGATTTTGAGCTACTTTAGTTCGAAATTAATACTGTAGCGATTGAGTGATAAGACTTTCTACTTCCTGCACTCATACTTAACCTTAGTCTATCAAGTCTGTGATAGGGTGACTTATAGGGTCTCGACTCTAGAATATATATAACATATATAAGATCATAGTGTTAAATGTGTTATAGACTGAAATTGAATGAGTTCAACTCCGCACTTTGAAAGCATAAAGATTAGGAACACTGCCTTGATGGTCCATTTTTTATTGATTCATATATACTACTAACTTGATCATCTAGTTCGACATTGTCTCTCGTACTTCTATCCTTAAAAATGAACTTAATTTGCTATTTTTTTGCCAGCGGATCGGTAGAACTGTTCTATCTCTCTCTAGCGCACAATACATTGCACACTTTCAAATTGCAAAAGCGTTAACATAATAAAGGGTAAAGTAAATAAATACAAGTCTACAGTACGTGATCCACCATTACGACAGTAGCTCACATTAAGAAATTGAAAGGGCGTTTTTTAAGAGTTCATTACACATATACTACTATACATATATAATTTCTCTATCAACAGGGTTCTGAATTGCAAGAATGCTTACGATTTGGCAGAAAGCCTTTCTAGCTAGTTATACACAAGCTATAAATGAAATTGATTTGATATCCAATCCCTGTGTTAAGCTTGATCAACTTCGATGTGATATTTACCATGATAATTGTGACATTTATACGTTAAAGTATGAGTGAATGAAAGCTGATGAATTCTTGGAGAAGGAACAACTTGCAGATAACGTGCAAAATGAAATCAGAATAGCTCAAAGTTCAGATAGAAAAGGCGAGATTAAAAGTTTACGAGGGGATTGGAATGGAGCACTGAAAGACTGTCAGAAATCGCTTAAAATGAAATTAAAATGCTTAGGTGAAAATGATTTACCTGTTGCTGATTCACTTTATCAAATTGGGCGCATTTACATTTCTTAAGGCCAATATAAATTGGCTCATGCAGAAACGGACAAATCGCAGAAAAATTGGATCGTCAATTTTTGATCAAATTCATCCCCATTTTGCGAGCTCATGTCGCATAAAAGGACTGGTTCTTGATTCAAGACCAGTCG